CAGAATTAGAGGTTTTTATGATGTCATAGTGAAAATTAATTTCAGCTAAAATAAAGTATTTTACAGTACATGTATTTTAAACAATATGGAAGTCAAGAAAATATCATTCTTTTGAAGAAATCAAATTTTATTATTTCAGTTATTCCACAATGCCAGAGAATTCAAAATTACATGGTACACAATAGATGATGATTTGTTGTGGCAGAAATGAAACATAAGATTCTGAAAGAATATGTTAAAAGCAGTCGACAAAAAATACAACGAACGAGAATGTTTGGATTCTCAATTTCAATCAACTGATATGGAGAAATTGAAAAGACAAGATAACGCAGACTAATCTGATTCACAAACATGGTTCTAAAAGAAATACAATGTAAATGCATAATTTAATCACTTTTATTCAGCATTATTATAGCCCATTCTAGCATTAAATTTCACGTCTGAATACTGAATCGCAAAGGCACCATATATACAAGTAGTAGTAATTACATAGCTACATTGGACTCCTGTGAAATTCACCCCAATACCATATATCGCAATCAAGCAGAAAATAATTGAATGTTTTTTGTTGTTTTTTTATATATACCGGTAACTACATGGATGTGGTTAACTGATAAATTAGTAAAAAAATGCACTTATTAACTTAGAATCACAGTTGAAAACCGTCTGAGCAATCAAAGCAACTATCTCTTTGACTACTACATACAATATATTCTAACACACTCATTAAGTGGTCACCAGAGAAGAATTGCTTCAATAGATGTAATAGACAAAATGTGGTACACCAAACTGGCATCCTAATATTGACTTATTTTAAATCACATTCATGAGTAATCTAAAATTACTGTATTGTCACAATGCTGTTTTTAATAAAAAAAAATCACTTTACAAAACTGAATAATATCTCAAATTAAATTTCTGAGATTATTGCAAAATTTCTTAATTTTACAATATCTGCTGACTTATTCCATTGCATCTTGTGCTCATGCATAATCTGAATATCTGGTTGAAGCATTTAATAATTGACTAAATCATAATTATCTATATTAAATTGAATGTAAAATTATTAAATATTTAAGTATAGATTGCAAAATATAATCTGCATGTGTCATACATCCATTATAAAGGCAACTGTTGACCCATGTAACCTTTGACTTGAATAACCTTTGACCTGGTTTCAAGTTGCTATGTTTCATAGTTTTGGGGCTACTATGACACATGGCTTCTAAACAAGTTTGCTGACAAGATTCAGCGAATGAAGCATGTTGATCTCTTCATTTAGGGATTCTCTTCAACTCGTTAAGAAACCAGATTGCCATTGTTAATAGCGCAACGGATCCCGACTGGTGGCTTGCTGCTAATTTGGTTGGTACATAGTATAACAAGGTACAGATACCAAGTGTAACCTGTAAATGTACAAGGATTAAATTATTAAGTGAGAATAAATTTGTCATAGCAACTCGTATTTTTTACTCAATTACGCAACATCTGGAACTTATTGCTAGTTGATAAATACTATTTCAGAAGACACTTATTAAACAAGCAGTATACTGTAAAATGATTAATTTTAATTTGGGTTTAAATTTTGTTGATTTACCATTTTCAGTGGATTTTAAATTCACAGTTTTATCAGTTAGATAATGTGTTCTATGCTAAATTTTACATATTCACTGGGTTTTAATTTAGCGCATTTTCCAGTCAGCGAAATAATCAAAATTAAAACCCAGTGAATAATTAACCCCTTTACAGTAGCAACTGATTTCATAATACAAAACACTGATTTAAAAAAAAAAGCTCCAATATTCAGTATAATGATATACTGTAAAATGACTAATTTTCACTGGGTTTAAATTTCACTGATTTACCATTTCAGGCATATTCAGTGTGTTTTAAATTCCCGGTTTTATCATTTAGATAATGTGTTCCACGCTAAATTGTACATATTCACTTGGTTTTAATTTAGTGCATTTTCCAGTCAGCGAAATAAGCCAAATTAAAACCAAGTGAATAATTAACCCCTTTACAGTAGTAACTGATTTCATAATACAAAACACTGATTTAAAAAAAAAAGCTCCAATATTCAGTATAATGATATACTGTAAAATGACTAATTTTCACTGGGTTTAAATTTCACTGATTTACCATTTCAGGCATATTCAGTGTGTTTTAAATTCCCGGTTTTATCATTTTAGATAATGTGTTCCACGCTAAATTGTACATATTCACTTGGTTTTAATTTAGTGCATTTTCCAGTTAGCAAAATAAGCAAAATTATAACCCAGTGAATAATTAATCCTTTTACAGTATTGTATTATTTCATGCAGTTAAATATTTTAATTAATATACAGAAATTATGAGTGACATGATAACTACTTTGACACTGAAATTATTATATATATTTATAGTGTGATATATATGGTTATTTGAAAGTTCAGATAGAAATAGTTCCCATGGAAACAAATTCAAGTTTTATTTGCTATTTGTCATTTATTTGAGGGCACCATTCGCTCAGCAAATTGTCAAGAATTTTTTTTTTAAATCTGTATTAGAAGCCGCATCCCTAATAGAAGTCGCACCCATTCTTTTTGAATAATTGAGAACCAAAAATTCATCATTTCTCATATGTGTAGATGCTCTAATAGAAGCCGCATTCCCTCTGTTGCATTGTACTATTTTAATAGAAGCCGCGGTTTCTAATACAGATTTTACAGTAATTAGCAATCATGTTTTAGCTTAATTCTCATAGGAGTTAATCAACATGATCGTCAAAAACAGTATTCACATAACATAACTATTACATAACAAATTTAAGTCTTGGCATGAAATTTAATTTAATAGATACAAGAAACTGACTAAAAAAAAATTGATCTTAAATTCTTGAATACCTGTATTCCAGCCATAGCACACATACAGTTGATTGCCATTCTGGCCTCTAGGATGTAGTGGTACACGTTTTGCATAAAACCACAAAAGTCCTACTATTGTTGCAGTTGTTGTTCCCTGTAGAAAGAAACAAGAATTACCAAATTTCCCAATTTAAAATAGAAGCAAGGAAAATAATAGCAAGCATGCTCCTCAATACTACATACTACTGTATTAATAGACCATTTTCCGTACACTGCGAGAATCACGCGTTATGCGTGAAATCGAACGTAAAACAGGACAAACAAAGGTCATAGCGTCATAGTGGCGTCAAACATCGCGTGGGATTTGACAATCGCGAAAGTATTTTGATGACATTTCCATGCTTAAGAATGTGCTGTCCACATTTGATGATAGGCAATTTCGATTAAGTGAGGGTATTCGGAAGCAATATTCCTCTGTCGAAGATCGGCCGGTCGGTGTGAGCTACGAAATAAGGAAATTCGAGTTCAAAATCAAATCCTTCAATTTTTGCGGCAGACGTTCGACGCGCATCTTTCATGCATCTCGCGAGATCTCGCAATTGTACGGAAAATCACCTATTCACTCATTTCAATGTTTAACAAATGTTTTATTTTAGCCATTTTTTACCCTGTATTAGCAAAGTTTCATTTGCTAATCACACCAAAATTGAACATTTCACAATGATTGATAAGAATCTTGTATTTGAAGCTGATCTGGTTAGTATAATATCTACGTTCAATTGAAAGTAGTTGGATAATCAAAGAAAAATGCATAACATAAATATCATTGTTGTTATATAAATAAATAGGAAATGAAAATTCCCAGCAGTCAGTGAAAGAGCAATGGCATTAGATGTTAGGATCATTAGCCAGCAGATGTTCAGCACCAGCATACAGCAAATTCTATAGTTATTCATTTGAAGTTTTTGAGATTTTGCTTACAAAGGCTGAAATGACACAATATGCAAATTATCTACTTTATATGCATAGACATGCCCCAAAACTAATTATGTCTACCCAAATTTGGCTTACACAGACAGACACACACTAAACTCATTATTATATTCTGTGTAATGTCCATGCATGCCATCTTGCCATAATAATTCATGGTTTGTGATACATTTAGTTGAATCTCAAATAAATTTGCTACAGGTGCCTAGTGATATGTTAGTGGAAACCCAAAAAATATACATATACACCGGTATACATGTCTTACCAATAATCTGTGGTCAAACTGAACAGTTGTGGGATTCTCAAAAAAATTCCTCCATGTAGGGGAAAGTGCTAATATGTCATCTGGTATCCACTTGTCGGCCATTTTGGGATAACTGTTGTACAGTAAACCAGCATCCAACCCAGCAACAAAGGCACCTTAAAAGAGAAAAATAACAACGGATACATATGTTGTGCAACGGTAGTGGCAGGGGTCAAATTTTTGCAGTAGTCCGGATATCCTGGAAAATCACTTGATGCCGTAATATTAAATAGAGAAATGACAATTTTACACCGTATTGTCACAATACAGGTACATTTTAACAAAACAACAATTTGTAATATTTTTGAGCAGTTAAAACAAAATAATACCTAATGTTTTTTTAAGGTGAAAAGAAGGATAGGAAACTGCGGTATTTCCTCTGATCTATGTAAGTTGTAATCATTTTAATCTTGTTTACCCAACGATTCACGTATTAGCGATAATCTCAACGAAGTCTTGCAAGTTACGTGGAGAGGTTATGCAAAACACTGTGAGATTATGTAAATTTTGGAGGGTCTATGATGAAATTAATGTTCCTGTCAGTGATGTTAATATAGTACCAGGGTGTGCAATATGCATCATCTCATTTACATATTTGATAGTTGGGAGAATTTGAAAGGTTGTGAAACAAAATCATTTCACTAGTATAACCAGAGATACATTACTTGGGGTTTGTAACGTGCCTATTACTGTATGGTGACATCACATCAAGATTCCATTCAAGTCTCATCTCGTAGATAGCAAGACTGATGCTATGACCTTCTGACGTGACATACAATGTATATCAATGTTCAAGGTTTGTAATAAAACAAAACGTGTCCTACCACTATCATAGTGAAAAAATGTAATAAATCGAAAATGTACAGATCTTCTTTACCTTGGGCATGCGCATTCACATTGTCCTGAGTTGAGACCGCTCATGTGAGAGCAAGATTGAAACAAGATCTTGGTATCATGTCACACTATTTGCAAGCCCCAAGTAATGTACCTCTGTTATAAGACATTTTAGTCATTAAATTTGTACTCTCGGCCCAACAAACCCATTCCTTTTATTTATATATATATATTTAAATATATCAATGGCAATTCAATCCAACCAGCCAATTACAAAGCACACTACGCATATATATATAT